GAAAGATTTCAGTCACTGGGTTACATTTAGTGATGATGAAGACAGCAGTGCAGTGGCAGAAGGGTTCAACAAACTGCTTGTCTTAGAACAAAACAAAAATACCTTTATGAAAACAAATAGTGATTTAGAGTTGTAAAATTTTACCCTCTTAGTCTTCCAAAAGAAATCATAATTATGATGCAAAATTTAAAAAAAAAAATCTTTTTTATATTTAATGAACTGGATCATCTGTCCGTGCTACATTTCATTTTCACGTTTAATGATACGGCCCCTGGAGGGAAGTACATAAAATACATACAACCTAACATTACCTACAGCTCATTTGAAAACTTCCTTAATCTAAGTTATTTCTTTTTATTAATCCATCTTAAGATGTTTTATTTCATTTCAGGTACAAATCATATGTAAGAACATGTAATGATGTACGGAAAAAAAGACAAAAAAATAATTTTCCTTTGGAATATGTATTTTAATCAATTTTGGTTGTTTGAAATAAAGCATCCTTACTTTGAAGAGTTAGTCTGCCAGTTATTCTGGAACAAACATCCCAAGAGGAATGTACACCAGTATAACAACAGCAGTTACACTGGTATTGCTCTGCTGCAAGTCTCCAAAACTCACCCTGGCTTTTGTTCCCAAGCCCATGTCCAACAGCATACTTTGAGAAGGGACTGTAGTTTTCCAGTTTCACTGCAAAGACACACTGTAGGCTGCTTGTGCATTGTCCCTGCAGATCCTGAGGAATGGTTGAGCCCAGCTGATGCCACAGGTATTGGCTCAGCCATGTCTTATGCTAAAGGCAGTTCAGCAGTTCATAGTTGTGTCCCTGTTCCCACTCTGTCTTCATAAGCAAATGCCATGTCAGTCTTCTGTTTCCACAGTGCAGATGAGGAGCGAGCTGGTCCTTTTTGCCTTGCCTGTGGGGTAGAACTGTGCACGATAGATGCCATTTGTGCAAAGCAGGCAGTTAATAACCAGATTGCAGCTTGTCATGGTAACTTGTTAAGAGAAGCATCAAGATCTTTCATTAGTAAAGGAAAGAGAACATTTTTAAGCAGGTGGTGAAGCTGAAAAAACAACTAATTTTCAAAAAAATTTATAAGATGTATTTAAAAAGTTAAGGTTTTTTTTCCCTTTTCCACAGGAAAATTAATTAGCTTGTTCTGAGCTTTCCTATCACTGGGATTGCAGCCATTTTCTTCCTTACAATGCCTACCTGTTTCTCTGCCACTGCCAAATTTTGAACACAAGAGATCCTCTAAGAGAGGATGCTGCCTTCGAGCACCTGTCATGCTCCTCTACTCTCCTGTTTGCCAGACACTTCAAAAAAATCCCCAGAACCTTCAAAGGCCAAGCCCATAAAGCCCAGTGCTAAGCTTCTCGTGTGAGTGTCAGTTTAACGTGGTTGCAGGCTGGTGAACAATGAGATACTCATTTCCCCACAAGATAAGACACAAAGCCTTTGCCTCTTAGTTCTCCTCTTAAAAAATACAGTGAATATTTATGGGCACATCTCAGTATAAAACATTAGCAGTAAAAAAGAAAGAGTACGGTATATGATCACATCCAACATTTTCTGCAAAGATAATTAACAGCTCTAGGACAGCTAATTTACATGTTAATGAAAGTGTTAGCAGGAAAGCCAATTAAACTGGATTTATACAAGTCAAATAAAATCTGCTTTATTACTCTCCTTGAATAAGAGACGGATGTGGCCTTTAGCATTCTATCTTATGTCTGTGTCTGTGGCAAGCTGCCCACTGAAGGATGAATCCCGGCAGCTCGCTGGTTTATGCTATCAGTGACAGGAGATATTGCTCAGCCGCAGCAAATCAAGGGAAGGGGACAGACAGTCCAGCTGAAAAGGTTACAGCACAGGATGAGGAATCTCCTGTCTCAATAAATTACCTTCCAACATCCCAGCCAAGTGTTTTCTCAGAGGCAGGAGCTTGTGACCTGCTTGTGATCTGGTTCTAGTTTCAATGGTCAGAGGAAGCAAAGCAGAGCCAGACTTGCTCCATGTTTGGGAAATCACTATGGAAAACTCAGACTGCAGGAGGCAGTGATTCTTTCATTCTCATTTGGGATTAAGCCAGGCCCCACCTGCAAAAAGAGGCCAAGTAACCTGAACCCTTATTACTGATGTCCACAACCAGGGAACCCACAGCACAGCTCTGTTCCTAGCTCTGCTGCCCATCCTCAGTGGGACATAATCAATGGAAATCAGTGTCCTCAGGGACAGCTGTCACTCTTCAGGGGCATATAATGGGTTGTAGGGAGTGGTTATCCCGTGACATTCTTCCATTCAGGAACCCAGCACTTGGCAAAAATTGCTGATGGCAGCTGTGAAGCCAGGTATGAATGATTTACCAGACACAAGTCTACAAGTATCTGCTTCTTCAATGAGAGGCTTTGGCAAGACACCCCATGAGTTTGCCCAAGGTCTGCAGCTTCAAGTTGCAGTAGGCACCTTGGTGGCTCTGCTGTCAGGTATGAATGATTTACCAGACACAAGTCTACAAGTATCTGCTTCTTTAATGAGAGGCTTTGGCAAGACACCCCATGTGTTTGCCCAGGTCTGCAGCTTCAAGTTGCAGCAGGCACCCTCCTGGTGGCTCTGCTGCATTCGTGTTTGGGGTGGGTAAGTGGTTCCCCTTGGTAAATTTAGCTTTTTTAGGGGGGTTACCACTGAAACAAACAAAAAGAAAGAGAACCAAAAGATTGGTTAGAATTTTCACTCTGACAAAACAACATTTTTGCCTTTCCCTTTTCATCCAGAATTGGCATTTTCACCAGAAGGAAAATTTCTCATTTCCAGCCAGCTACTTGGGCTGGCACCAGGAAGCACAAATCACAGCAGAAGCCAGTTCACAGCACTGTAATCACAGCAATTGAATACTTGGGTGGGTGTTGCTGCTAGAAACACCAACACAGTTACACCAGACTGCTGGACAAGGGCAAGAGGGCTGACCAACCCCTTTTAAGCCTCCATTCCCACCTCACTATTTCTTCTTGGATGCCACAATGCAGATGAAACATCATTTCCTCAAACAACTCACACACAACCTGCCTGCCACACCTGCAGCTGAGCCACTGGGTGGGATTAAAAGAGTACTCTGAGACCTGAGAATTTACAGAAAGATACTACTCTCAATTAATGTGGCACCAGGAAGCACAAAAGCATCCAATTCCTGATGGGAAGCAGACATGAATGCTAGGCCTCAAAGCTGCTGGCCCTCAGACTCATGTCTGTACCCTGCTTCAAAGTCCAAAACCACAACTGACAAACTGCTCAGCTTGGCAAAACATTCCTGGCCAGCCACCCCCCAGCACTGTGCCTCTTGCCCAAGAGAAGGGTAACGTTACATTCTCCCAGCACAAGACAATCACTAAAAACTATGCAGATCTTTAACAAAAAAGAACATGGTCCAGAGTATTCAGCTGACAGATCATTAACCTTTAATACACTTTGTGACATATCCAAGGCATTTTTTAAATCACATTTTATGACTATATTCCAAAAAAATAAAACCCAAACCCCCAAACCCAATGACCCCCCACCAAATATTAGTTTTAGAAGTTACACATATATAAATACAGTTACAAAAAGGAGAACATTGCCTTAAGAATTCCAGTTACAAAACATAGATGCATTTACTAAGATTAATGTTTAATGTCACTGATCTGAATCTGTGTAGGCCAAAGGAGTCTACTAAAACCAACAGATTTGTCACATGAAACAAGCATTCAGTTATTAGAAGTCTTGTCTATTCACCATGAATTCCACATACTCTATTCTGTGAATACAAAGTGTACTAATATATTTACACTCTGAAGTCTAAACCACAGTGTAAAAAATATAAACCTCTTCAGAAATTAAGACATTTCTGTTACATTTTCTGTACAAAATACTGCCATGCAGTGTTCTTACCTACATCTCAGACGGGGAGGGGTTGATGCTCTTTTTGCCAGTGTAGTGCAGTACAGTCTCTGTACTGCTCTTGTGAATTGTACTTTGCAGTTCCCTCAATTTCCAGAAGTGTATTTTGAGCTGCAGTGTCCTCCTGGGCTGCTCTCAGGAGCTGGCAGGACTGCAGTGCCCACAGCACCAAGCCCATGCAGAACTGCAAGGTGCATCCCACCTCCGTGGCAGCTTTCAGAGCCACCATTTGAAGGACACCAATACTGGATCCATCTCACAGGAGTGACATGAGGAGACACCTCAAGGATGTCATCAATACAGACCTTATTTAACAAATGGTCAGCAAAGGCATTACAGCTTTACACAGCCCATGTTTGTTTTCAGAGAGGGATGCAGGTGTAAAGAAAGGGAGTAAAGAGACCACAATAACATGAGGCTTCTTCTAACCACAGTGCAAATTATCTAAGACTTCAAAAAAGTGACTGTGCACTGCTATTTTTTAATCTAAAAATACTGATTTCTCATCAGTACTGTTAGGGTGTCCTAAACATTAACATAAACTCAAATAAGACACTGCTGGTTTTCTCTGTATCTACACCAGCAGATATATTTGGGCCCCAGGAAACCAAAACATTTGTGGTAATTTCCAGTGAGGCCTTAAAATGACCTGATTTTCTTCCTGCTTTACTTTTTTCTACCTCAGCTCCAAACTCTAAGCATTAGCTTTCTTGTCAGGGCATACATCTGTTGTGCTCCACCTGAGCATTTTCAATGCTCTTCTTTAAATCAGCTACAGAGAAGTTTCTGTATGAGTAACATGAGCCAGGGATTTGAATGCACCAACTTCTTGGGGTGTCCCAAGAGCAAAGCAGAAGAGCTGAGCTCATCAAACACATCTTCAATGTGAACAAGCACAGAACTGCCCTGTCTGACCAGATACACACTGTCCTAAGGAAAGCAGTCTCACAAGCTGCTAAAGATTTAGGAGGAAAATGTAGAAGAAGATGAATATTTCTTTTGTTTTCATTACTAGAAACAGATGAAAACAACCACAATTTTCTAAGCAAGGCAAGCTACCAACCTGTCTCTTTCTTATGCAGAAAAACAGATGCTGTGTCTGCTGACCAATCTGGGTGATGTGTTAAAAGGCAAATGACAAAACCTCCTAAAATGTGTCACTAGGTCAAAATGCTACCTTCACTCACTTGAATACTAATTTTTCAGGCTCCAGTCAGGCTTCCCTAACACGGACAGTAAACCAAAACTTGGCAGCAGCCACATGCTGCTTCTCCCCTTTGACACAACAAATAACCACCTCATTTCATTGTTTCTAAACCTCTCTATAGGATTTTATCCCAGGTGTATATTTACCTGCTTTCAAAGCAAGCTTGGGGGTTTTTTTGCTAAAAGAAGATACCCTGGGCACACACTTTCTTTTTGCCAAGTTTGTATTTGTTTTGAATGTATTTTGAGAAAGAAATTGGACAGGTGTCTAAAGTTCAAGATGTACAGGAAATTATTCAGCAGCAGATATGATTGACACAGCACCCTTGTAATTCTACAGATCCCCTAACAAATGTTAGAAGTTTCTGTGTTACACCAAACACAGGACAGAAGCAGGAAAGGATGGCAAAACCTCAGTCTCACAGTTCTTGGGCTAAAACATCCTGAATGAACTTCAGTGTACGTTGATACAGGAAAGCATCCTTCTTCTTTGGCTTGCAAATATTCAGATGATTAACATCCACTGGAATAAGGTCTCCAATTCCTATTTCTGGAAAAGGGAGAATAAAAAAAAGTTCATACCAGAGCTCATAAGACAACCTAGACTGAAAAGAAGATCTTGCATTAGCAATTTCTCTCTCAAAAACAACTTCTCCCATCTTCAGCAAAACTCTTTGTTCATCATTATTTTTTCATGAGCTAAAAGCATCAGTACACACAGTTATGGCCTGATAGAGCTCTGTGCTGCCACAAAACCCACACTGGCACACAACACCATCAGGTCAGAGTTCTGCTGTCTTTGTTTGAAATACACAAATGTACATTTCTCCATACAGACAATTTTGCTGAAACAAAACTTTATTTACTGATAGCACAGTCCTGACTGAGGTTTAAGCATTGATATGATCAGGGATGTAGTTTAATGCATGGTAACTTGAATCTGATCACCACTAATTGCCCACATCCCTCACACAAATACTTTGACATGGACATTAAAATTTGGACTACAATGAACCTGAAATATGCTGTGAATCCCTACGCACATTTCCAGATAAATAAAATATTTATGTTGCTCAATTGTAGAATACAAATATTCCATTTTCAGCTACTGATTTTGGGTACACTACAGCATTTATTCTTTCTTGACAGCCATCACTACTAACTTTTCAGTTAGGATGCTCTGACTGCCACATTCCAGTTTATTGACTATTCACTCATCACCTAGAGAAATCCTCCATTTTGCCTTGACTTCTGTGCCTCAAGCCATGTAAAATTACACTAGAGCAGGATGAAGCTCTGCTTTCATGTGCCCAAGCAGACATGCAAGAAACAGGGAGCTGCTGCTCATCAGCCTGTCTTTTGAACAGTGGCCTGCTACAGACTGCCATGTGCCCTCTAAAGGTTTTCAAGAGCACTCATGTGCTGCCCTAGGTGTCACCCCAGAAGAGGAGACATGATACAAAATTACAAGTGCGAACTACACACTTGGGTTCTGTTATTCAGCTCTCTTTTTAACCTTACTTTGTTAAATAATAACAAAAAAGGTCCAGTTTTTCAGTCCTGACCAGTAACACTGCATCAGCAACATTTCTGCAAAACATTGCTGCTCAAGAGGGTATGCTGCAAAAGACTGCAAAAGAGTGACTCAGATAAACAGGGATGTATAATCCACCTTTTTCAGAGTATCTAACCTTGCACTCAAACTAGTGGATTTAGCTGGTGGAAAGTCTGATCTAAAAACCTACCAAGGCAGTGGTTTCTGGCTTTACAAATACCTTGGGCAGTGCAAAAGAAAGACTGAAAATGTAAGACTTGAAACAGTTTTCTAAGTTGAACACACATAAATAAAAGCAAGGGGAAAAGAATTGGTTTCCCCTTCCCTTAAAAAAGGCAAAAAGATGGAGGGAACTCTTCAGGAGGCAAACCCTATTGCTGGAGTTCACGAGCTGTGGAAGGTAAAGGATTCTGAACTCTGAATACCAGCTTTATGACTTTTTCCTTCCATTAGCAGTTGATTAATTTTCTTTCTTAGTTTTTTAAAGGAGAAAATAGCTGGAATTTGCAGAAGCATCTGAAACACTATGCAGCCTACCTATACAAAGATAAACCACAATTAGTCATAATTCCAAAGGAAAGGACTCCAACATCAGACCAGGGTCTACCCTGCTTTTTTAACAGATTCTGATTTCAGAATTGTTATTCTGATTTCAAAAAATCAAAACAAACAACTGCTATTCTAAGATTTAAATGTAGCTGCTTCTGATCTCAGCAGGGAGGCTCACAAAAACCCCCACACTGTAATGGACTTATTTTGCTAGGTTTTTACCATAATATTTATCACCTTTTCTCATTATAGACGCTTACATCAATATGCATCAAATCAAATAAATTAAATGGCTATTTCTCACTTACCTGCTGACTCCACAGGTACAACATGCAGTTTTATCATGCTGCCTATGTGTGTTGGTAGGGTTTCTGCAAAACTCAGCACTGAAAATTTCTTGTCTTTGGCAAAAGACAAGAAGTCATCATTCAGCTCTTTAAGGGCAGGAGAATCTGAGGAAGAACAACATAATTTTTGCAGTGTTATAAGATTATAGCATTGTTCTGGCACGACTACATTGCTAGAGATGTTTTTATTGCTGTGACAGTAAAAGGTGCAGCATTTTGTTTATAATCCCTTTCCCCAACTAGCATATGCAACAATTTCTTCTGACTCCCCCTTTTCCCCTCACCTCTGCAATCAAATGAAACAGCTACTCAGAATTACTTGCAATAATTCAACACACAACCCAAACCATAAAAAGGAGGTTTGTTGTTTCTCCCCAGCTTTCTCTGACAGCACAAGGAAAAAACCCAAAGCACCAAGAAGAGATTAGCAGAGTTCCTGTTGCTAGATGGTAGCAAAGTGAACATACCCTTGCTGAGCTCTTTAACCTCCACAGATGGGAAGAGGAGATATCTGGCATTTATAGAATATTCAGCCAGCTGGGAACCATGGTGAGGTACGCTATAAAATACGATTCCTCTGGTGTTGTTTACAATTTTATCCATTTCTGGATTCTTGGAAGCATCCACCAGCATCTTTTTGACTAGAAGACCTGGCAACAGAAGCTGAATTAATGTAGGGATTTAAATCACTGGGAAATAATGACCATGCTATATTAACCATGAAACAACTAACCATATTCTTGCTTTGGTTGATTAGTCCTTAGATTGTCAAATATGTAAGATTAACTTGAAAAAAACCCAAACTATGCTCGAGGAGGCATCAATATAAAATGTCAATGAATTATGCAAATCCAATTTTGATTTGTTTTATGTGTTGCTAATGACATTTACTATATGCCTGATCATGGAGAAAATTTTGCCTCTGGATTTCCATTTACATGAATTTCAACTCATTGAGTTTTTAAATCAACACAGTAAGAACAAACAGCAAAAACAATCCTTTCAAAATGCATATGCTATTAAATATAATGCATTAAGAAAGTAGAAATCTGTTTTTCATATCTAGGTCTTTGCCAATTTTTTTAATAAACCATTCTGAATAATTGCATTTTTACCTCAATTTGGTTAATGGCTTGTTCTGAAATCTTTAATGCAAAGAAATGCTTTATATCAAACAGGCAACATGCTTACCACCCATGCTATGGGATACCCACACCAGAGGTCGGTCTCCAATCCCAGCAGCTTTGAGCTTGTCAAGCAGCTCACTGCTCCTGAAAGCAATAGATTCCCTGCAAAGAAAAAACAAACACAGGCATAATGGAGTGTGACAAGTTCAAAGGCAATGTTAAAACACAACAAATTTTAGTGCTGCACATTTAGGAAAGTTAATTAGGTAAACAAATATTAATTATTTAATTATTGTTTCTACATTGAAAAAAGCCAAGAACTTTTGTAAGGATCGCTTCACAAGGACAATGGGAATTGAGCTAAATTCAGTTTCTTGCTCTTGCTAGAAAGTCTTACTATAACTTCGCTCAGCAAACATTTCTGTTTTCTTGACAAATTGTTTTATGGAGTTTTAAATAGTTTCATTTACACATTGTAGCAAAACAGTTGTTATTCTATGAAAGCAACATCAACACATAATGAACACAGAACATGAACAAACCTCATACACTTTGCTAAACAATGCTCAAAATGTGGAGCAATGCACAGAAATTTAAAAACTAAGTGCATGATCAACCACTACATTTCAAAAATCACAACTAATGTCAGTTACACTTGCCAGACAATCTCCAAATGCTTTCTATTGGAATAGTATGAAAGCACAATCATCTCCATTTTATAAATGAGAAGACTGAGCTCTGGAAGGGATAAGCTACACATTAAAATTTGAAAACGAATCTGCAGTAGAACCAAAACCAAACCAATGCCAATGCCCAATCCAAGCTTGAAAGTGCAACACTTGCAGTTTACTCTGCTCCTTCCAGTGTAACAAGAATCAAACACAGAAGGCCCTTAGGTAATGAAAACATCAGGATATGGGGGCAACCACTGTGCAAAATAATTCACTTCATCTCTATTGGTCTCAGCATTCTCACTAGAAATTGCTTTATAACACATATAAAAAGAATAATCAAATGTGTCTTTTCTGATGAGCAGCACGCTCTAGGCTAGCAGAGAGACAGAAAAACTCACTTTTGAAACAGTGAATGAGACTGTACATTTAAGAGCAAACCTCAGGTTGTTTTTGTACTGCGACCTCATTGTTCTTGCTAGTTAAAAATATCTTCAATATTTTTCTTTCATTTATTATTTAACCATATAAAATTATCAAATATTATGGTTGTGTGACCATAAATAGATGGTAATGTAATTTTCTATTTTATAATGAAAAAGATGTTATCTTTGGGAAATAAAAAGGAAATCTATGTTTATTTCTTTTAACATGCTTACTCCAGACAGACACAAGAAGAGTTTTCTTAGAATTACAGAATCATTTACATTTAAAAGACCTGTAAGATCATGGAGTCCAACTGCTAGCCCAAGGTGGACAGCCAAGTCCACCACAAACCCATGTCCCTAAGATCCTTATCTGCCTGTCTTTATATTATCTTCAAGGATCAGGACTCAACCACTTCCCTGGGCAACCTCTTCCAGGGCTTGACAATGCTTTTAGTGACAAATTTCTTCCTAATACCCAATCTAAACTTCCCCTGGTGCAATTTAAAGCCAATTCCAGTCTTCTTGGACCTGCACAGGTAACCATCCACATGCTCCTTACTGTAATTTTTCTGCCTAATTTCAAATAGGCACATTAACAGTCATGAGTTCCTCATTTTCTCCCTGCTTACATGTTTTCCTTAATGCAATAATTGCATTGATCTTTCATATAGCCAAAGAGGGAATGGACAACTACTAAGTTCCCAGTCTATTATACATGTTGAATTTTTTTTCTTTCCTGCACAAAAAACATTATTGATTTTCAGATTCTTAACTTGTAAGCAGCCATGCACGTGCCCTTGCTGCAGTGCACAAGTTGAATTTACAGTACTAATGACATGCTTAAATATCTGCATAAATGTTTGAAGGATTCTGATTTAAAGATCACTGAACCTAATAATCAAATTCTATTGAAGACAAAAAACCTCTACAGGTTCAAAGTGTTCTTATTTTTCAACATGTTCGGTGGTAGCATCTTCCTCTGACCTACCCTGTTCAAGGTCAGTAAAAACAGCATTCCTCTGGCAAGGGCAATTACACTCTGATTGAATCAGATATAGTTATTGTATTTTATCATCAAAGTAACATTTTTTGAACAACAGTATGTTTGCATCAGCAAGAGTGTGGCCAGCAGGACTAGGGAAGGGATTGGTGAGGCAGCACCTCAAGTCCTGTGTTCAGTTTTGGGCCTCTCACTACAACAAAGGCATCGAGGCTCTACACCAGCTCCAGAGAAGGGCAATGGAGCCAGTGAAAGGTCTGGAGCACAAGTCCTGTGAGGAGAGGCTGAGGGAACTGGGATTGATTAGCTGGAGCAAAGGAGGCCCAGGGAAGACCCTACCACTCTCTACAATCACCTGAAAGGAGGGTGTAGCTGGGTGAGGGTTGGCCTCTTCTCCCACGGAACAAGTGACAGAGACAAGAGATAACAGGGAAGGTTTAGGTCGGATATCAGGAAAAATTTCTTTATCAAAAGGGTTGTGATGCTCTGAAACAGGTTTCCCAGGAAGTGGCTAAGTCCCCATTCCTTGAAGCTTTTAGAAGGCATGTGGATGTGGCACTGAGGAACGTTGTTTCATGGTGGCCTTGGCAGTGAAGGGGTACTGCTTGTACTTGATCATCTAAAGGGTCTTTTCCATCCTAGATGATTCTATGAAAACATATGCTTCATTTTACCAGGAGTATAAAGCCATTGTACAGTGATTTTTTTGCTGTGCTTATGAAGCATTATTGTGCCACTTTAAAAAAGACACCCTTTAAGAAATAAAGTTGTATTTTCATTAACTAATAGCATCATTTAGTGTCTCCCTTAACATGAAGCAAAACAGACTGTAAGAATTCATGAAATTGCCACATGTAGCTATCTGTGAGGCTAAAAACTTCAGAATAACATGACTATATTTAATATTTTTCCTAATTTGATTTTTCAAAGCAACAGGGAAAGTTAAATGAACTCTTTCACAGTAGGTGATCCTAAGGATCAGCTTTACAGGTTTATGTCCTGCCCCCACCCCAAACTGCAGATGCTGCATTTCTTACCTTTGAGCCTCAACAGGACATTTTGCTTTCCAGTCACTCAAATGGGTGTCATACTCCACAGATATGATTCTAAGGGAAGGGCAGTCTGAAGCAAGCCATGTCTAAATTAAAGACAAGCAAAACCAAAGGAACTTATAATCAATGTACTTAAACTCTTGAAAACAATGGAGAAAAGATGTTACCATGGAGACAATATCAAGAAAGACTTTTGCTCTTCAGTTAATCCCCAAATATATGTTACACCAGGATTATCATTCTTTTATCACATGCTGGTGAACTCTAGATTGTTTCTGAACCATAAAGCAGACAAAGAATGAAGATTCCTCTCTAACTCGTGCATTCCTGGCTCCCTCTCCTGGGTGCAACGAGTTACTATGATTACCCACAGGACTGATCAGTTCAAATTTCAGAGACACTTTTAGTGGCTATACCAGTGTGAGTTTGTTTGGAGCAGTAATTACACATTCACCAACAACACTTAAATAGCAATCTGCACAAAGTAAGACATTCAGACACCTAGGTAAGAAAGGGAACTTAATTTAAAATGTTATTCTATAAGTCTTGCAATGACGTTCCGTTAAAAAAAGAAAAAGAAAAGAAGAGAGAGCATAAGGAAAGCAGCCATTGCCTCCTCTTTCACTAGCATGTGAATGATGTTGAGAACACGAAACTTAGCTGTGATTTTTCCTTGCAAGAACAACAAACAAGTCATTAACAAAAATTTATCATCAGGAACTTGAAACTGCCATTTGTATAACAAACTACGAGTAATTGAATTTAAAAAAGACATCTGCCAGACAGTGTCCTTCTAGATGCTCTCATGAATGAGCAAACAGCAGCCACATGTGAAAACGTCACTGTCTCTTTACCTTTGGCCAGCACTGAGTATAGTCCTCCTCCCCTTCTGAGGCCTTTCTATCCAAACGCCGGTCAATGTCCTGCTGTCGCCAGGTTTTAAATGCTGCTCCCAAAAGTCCATGAACGAAAAGGATGTCTGCTCTGACAGGCTGGCTGATCAACCAAAAGGAAATTTTAAGAGATATGTGGTATGTGTTCTTTCAAACAACAAAATTATCTTGGAACTTTTAACCTAAGGGATGCCAAAATGTTTTTTCTAACATTACACGTGACTTCTTACCTTATGGACAACATTTCAGGATATTTCAAAGAGCATACTCAGATAAAAACAAAAACTAAGGAAGCACACAGAAGAAAGATATAAAATGAGGAATGGAAAGTACACACCTCACAAATCATAATTTTCTATAATGAAAAACACCTTTCCTGCCAGCTATTGTTCCTGTGGCTTGGTAGCTCCAGCCTTATCATCACATTAGGTCTTCACTGTGACCAGAGTAACACCAATGACCCAGGGAATAGTTACTATTGACAACCATGCTGAAGATTGCTTTAGTCCCAGACACACCATCACTATAACTGAGGATGCAAATTTACTGCATCTTAGGCCAATGTGCTGTTGCCAGTAGAATAATTACAAGGCACTGTATCCCAAGTCAAACAGTTGCAACCCACACAAAGCAGTAATTAATTTCATGTTCTGTCTTCTGATTTTCCAGGCATTACAGTAATACTCTGTCCACACCTAGGCACTACTCCAACCACTTTTACTGCTCTTCTACTTGAGAATCTAAATTCAGTCCTTTCAAGCCACCAAAGAACAGGAGAGGCAAGGTAACATCAGTACAGCAGCACTCTGATGCCAACTCTTCCAAAGTTTTGTAACAGAACAGCAGAACAAGTAACTCCAGCATGTACAATGATTCCTTCTACTTTACCTGCTACGATATTGTGGATGCAAGACATAAACACCATCTGGATATTTTTCTTTCACCATGTCCCTGTCTAGATTAGCCAAAGCTCTGGATGCATGAGAAGACTGAATGATGTGTGGGGATTTCATTACTTCAGCAAGTACAGAAACCCAACCTACATTGAGAAAAGGAAGAGGCAGGTCAACTAATAGAAACATCATCTGAACAACAGAATTCAGAAACACCAACCATCAAATCATACATCTGAAAATAGATGTTAAAACTTAAGAACGGCAACATCAAAATAAATTATTTCAATCTACTCTTTACCTCGGGAAACTCAAGGCAAAGTAAATGGAATCTCCTAAATTCAAAAATTCAGATGTATTTTACTACTGTTCATCTTATGATCTGAAGAAGAACCCCTTCTCAGAAGAAAAAGAAAGTGTATCAGCAGGCCAGTACAGCTGTAGCAAGGACAGATCTCAAATCTCTTTTTGCAGATAAAATTCCAGGAAGATGGAGACAATGAAGCTTAAAGCATAAGAAAGGCTTAGAAAACAACCTACAGGAGAAATGGCAGGTAAAAAAATTGATGCTTGCTGTGAGAGTACAATAATTTCTAATTTTAAAATCCAGCATAAGAAAACTTCTATATGTGATTAAAATATCTTTGCTATTCTAAAATTTGTATACTGTTTATACATTAGAAACATAGGACAATTAAATTGGATACAATCCTCAATAACATTTTAAGTCAAAGACACTATGACTTACAAACACTTTATGATACTCTAAGGCGTAAAATTTTCTCAAGCATGGATGGGAATTTTCACAGACTACTGAGAAATGTGAAGGAATATCTTTTATGTGTATATGCACACGTTTCTTCAAAATCCTGATAAATTTTGTTGCTAGCAAAAACAGCCTATAAATCACAGTTACATTACAGTCAAGTCCATAAATAAAACCTGGGAATTTACTTCATGAGCATTGCTTCAAAACCATGTACATTATGTTGCTACTAGTATAGTCAGTAAGATGCTAAGATTCAAAATAATTTACTCTAGACTGAGGAAAAGAGCAAATTAACATTTGAGTTTTGCCTTAAACTAACAAATCTACTAGGACCTTTGAAGACTGTAATCTTTATTTAAGAATAATGTATTCAAATTATGTTTCTGAGCAGAATATATGCTGACCACTATGAAAGTTGTACTTAAGAAGAATACTACCTAAAGTCTGCTTTCAGTTCTCCAAACACAATGGAAGGCTGCCAAGATAGTCTGACTAAAACTAACTTGGTCTCTGGTTTTGCACTTCTCTTAAATGAGTCAAGATGAAGAGTCAAAAAGAACTGTTCAGAATCAAAAATAAGTGTTCTGCCCCCAGACACCCCATCACAGTAATGCACTACATATTTTTCTTCTTCCCGTGCCAGCAGTTTTTGCAAGAACAAGAGCCTTAGAGGTTCTTTCTTCTTATGCATCATCCAGCAATAAACGAGAAGCTTTATCAACTCTGGACTAGCAGTACCTGACTGCTCATCTCTGGAGTTTGAAACAGGAGAGTCAGCTGCTCCCTGGGACAGAGCTCTCAGTACAAAAGGAATTTTAGAGAGTGAATCAATTTCTTCTTCTATATGTATGGTTTCAATAATCATTAGAATTTAAGAATGGTGCCAGAGTCCAGGACAAAGGCCTTTATGTCCAGCTGCCTTTCTTTAGAAGTGAGCAGTGGAAGCTGCAGACCAATATAAGAATAGAGCAATAAAAGGACAATTATACAGTTCTGATTCTAGTCTATACCGTCAGATTTCCTGCAGTCAACTTTGTTTCCATTTGTAGAACTTTATAGATTTTTCATTTCATGAATTTGTCTCATCACTCTTTGAAGCTTTGAGTCTTCAACTACCATAATGCTTTGTGGCAAGTTTTATTTTGGTCATGCAATATATGGAAAATACTATTTATTTGTTCTTTCTCTTTAGAATTTAATGTGCAAGAACCTTTGGTCTGGCATTACAACAAACAGCAGATGACCATTCCCTCTTGGCCAGTGAAGAGACTTTTATGAATCTCCATCATATTCTCTTTCAGCTGCTTTTTCCATGCTAGGTGTCTCAGTCTAGTTATTTGTGCTTCATATCACAGCCATTGCAAATTTTTCATCACCCTAACCATCTTTTGCTGTGCCTTTGCTACTTCTCCTTTGTGTAAAAACGCACACTGTGTTTAACATCAAACATCAGCTTGGATTTACAAAACTGCATATTGACATTTTCTATTTATTTTACTTCTTTATCTGAAACAAACTAGAACAGAAATCTACCACTGACACAGCTTTCCTTTTACCTGCACGTACTATGGATGAGTGAAGACGTTCATCCAAAGCCATGTTCCCAATAATGCGGATTATGTTCCTCTGTATCTTGGCTGAATCTTTACGTAGCTGGTATATCCTCTGCAGCAGCTGGAGGCCTCCTTTAGCTTCAATTTTATCACAGTGAGAAGAAATCTGGCATTACAAAGTAAATACAGTGACAATAAATAGATGATCTGCAAAAGGTTTTTTGGACACAGTTAATTCATAAATTAGGGAGTTTTAAGAAGCAGGTATAACATAGCCCTTGTTGCATGGAAACTATATTAGTCTAGAATTTATTATACTATATTTGAAGAGGAAATAGATGTTTTAATATGCAAAATGCATAATTCCTATGAATTGACAACTTGAAAATCTCTGAGTACCACTTCTCTGCCCTCCTTCATGTCTGAGGGGGATGAAATGGTCTCCACTTGGTGGTCAAATTTCAACTCAAGTTCGAGAGTCTGAACAGGTCAATTGTCTGTATTTGCTAAAGCACTATCTCAACCAGAGGCACATGTCCATCACCCAAAATGCAATCATTATAATTCCTTCTCTTCAAAATGAAAAAGATTTAAAAAATATTTTTTACATTACAGATAGTACTGCTATCATTACTGATCCTAAGAGAAACAATTTAGTCCAGATGAATATGCAGGGTAGCTTTGGAACTGCTGATATCCTCAAGCCTGTGGCTTTCAACAGGCATTTGGAATGAGTACAGTCACAACTTGCTTAAACTGAAAATCCAGAATATAACAAATTCCAGACAAAGTCAGAATTTCTATGTATATGGAAGATGCACTTCATCCATCCCAACTATCAGTAACCATTTGGTGTTCTCAACACTGTTTTTCAGCATTCTAGGCTTCTGAACAATTAAGTGTACACAGAAGAATGTAGCAATAGGAAACAAGAAGCAACACTGTCACAAAATGTCTTCCATACTCCTCATCTGTGTCTACAAAAAGCAGCCTGGTCCTGGGAAGGCCACTGTATTAGCTGCTTGTTGTGCAAAATTCTGCCCAAAGAATACCTTTGTGTATGGGTAAGGTTTGCATTCTGTTCTGGTTTCTGATTAGAGTGAATTCATGACACTATTTTGCTTTGTGGAAACCTGGCATAACATCCTCAGAGCCACCCTTTTACCTCTTCAAAGATACAAATTCCCCTGTACTACACTTGTATGTAAGGGCGAATTAGAAACAACAAAACTTACACGCACTTCCTCATGAGAAAAAAACCTAATTTGTTACAGGAATGTGTTCACACCCATCTCATTTGTTTAAACATTCTTACAGAAGGAGAATGGGGTAGCAGACAAGGAAATGGCAACTCCTTCCCAATACATGAGAATGCATTAGAGAGGAATGTCTATAAATGTAGCTTTTCAGTTACAGTTTAAAGACAAGTTACCTTAGAATGCTGTACTAAAGCCTGCAAGCAAAAGAGTTCCACTGTCTCTGAAGGGATTTTACCCAATGTCTCGCAATATGGAAGTCCATTTCCTCCAAAACACCATAAGCCTCCCTGAAATGAAAAACCATAAAAATAGTAACACATTTCAAATGGCTACATTAAAAAAAGGATTTCTAATCTAGAATGTTAAGTGTGTAATGATCTATAGAAATTGCTTTAAGGAGTGCACAGCATGCATGCACTCCTCAAAAGTACAAATTACACAACAGTACATCGTAAAAGTATTTACTATTTTTAACTGGAAATATTAACTAGATTTTCAGTGTGTAGTTTCCTTAGTCTATTAACTTCAAAACATTCAATAAACAGGGGAAAATCTAGTATTTTCGTTTTGTTAATGAATGTCATCTTTTAAGATCATTTGCTTAAGCATAAAAAAGCAAGAATCAGCATAACTCTAGACTTGCAAAACTTAGAAGAGGAGGAAGAAAGGTCTTCAATATGTGGCACAGCCTCAGAAGACCAGTCTCTCAATCACGCAGCAGAAAGACCAACATAGCCTTGATAAAAATCAAAATACTTCCAAGTGTGATGTCTTACCAAAGCTCCCTTTGTAGCACGAGCTCTGGCTGTGAAAACAGTAAAGGAGTGATAGTGTAAAAATAGCACACTTAACTCTGTCATAGAAAATAAAGAGTTATTGCACTCTGGAAACTCTAAACGAAGACTGACAAGCATTGTTATTAAAATGACATTCATTTTTGTTATTGCATCTTATAAAAAATAACAATCACTGATTAAGGAAGTCAGAACTTTTAAATTCACAAGAGAGAGTGGATGAAACTGACATAAATATTATTTTTAAATAATAATGGCACTTTAAATGACATTCCTAAAGCCACTTAAGAAGTTGCTGCACAGACACAGTTGGAGAATTCCTAGATCCAGGTCCAAACAGACCACAGACTACTGGAATTCTGGTTTAGTAACAGGGACCTATTTCGAAGAGGCACTTCCATGTGATGTAACAGAGTTTACTACTTAAGGTGTGCTAACAACCTACCATTTTAGTAGAGACTTAAGTGAGGTTTAATAATGTCATCAGTAAAAGAACATTCAAACAACAGTAAGATGAAATGTGAAAAATAATTTTATGAGCACTACAAGGGGAAGGAATGTTTTGGACAGTGTTGAAATTTCTGCTTAATGGGAAGGCTTCTAAGATATAATCTTTAACTACACCTTTCAACTAGCACAGCTGGGAAATATAAACAAGCTTTTAAGCAGACAGACTGTATTTACAAGAGATTTTACTCATGTTCTACAATCACTAAGTGTCTGTATTTCTCTTCCTTTTACAATGATAAAAAATATAGAAAAAGATTTGTATCTTTGAGCTCTGCAGGAACAAAGAGCCCAAACAGTTCTGTTCTGCAGATGGAAACTCACCCTTTGTGCAGCAAGAGTCTGGCTACTTTCACGTAATGCAAGAGATGTGAAGTACTGGACACACGGATCAAGACCAGTCTGAGGTAAAGATACCAACAACAAGCGAAGTTCATCTTCTATGGGATAGTCCTGTGAGAAGTAAGCATGAACACCTTTTAGGTTACTTTGTTCAAAGCATGAAGCGAAATGCAGAAGAGAGAAATATTTGAAATAATGGAATCAGCCATACTAATGAGGCTATAAAATATGAACCTTGGACTTAAGTGCTCTGTAACTTCAGTTTAATAGTTTTATCTGTAAAGACTTTGGAAACTAATAATTACAAACCACAAAATAAATGATAAAAAACAAGCTTTACATTTCATATTTTGGTGATAGTATTCTAATGGCTCCAAAGAGCAGAATAAAAACCAGCTCCTCTTGGCAGCGGAAACTTTAAAGTTCACCCTTAACTACATAGAAATTCTCATAGAATCATAAAATACTCAGAGTTGCAAGTGACCCACAAGCATCATAGAAGTCCAACTTCTGGTCCTGCACAAGACCATCCCAAGAATCACACCATGTGCCTGAGAGCATTTTCCAAAAGCTGCTTGAGTTCTGTCAGGCCTGGGGCCATGACCACTTCCCTGGGGAGCCTGTTCTAGTGCTCAACCACCCTCTGGGTGAAAAACTTTTCCTGATATCCAACCTAAACCTCCCCTGACAGAGCTTCAGGCCATTTCCTCAGGTCCGGTCACTGGTTGCCAGAGTGAAGAGGTGAGTGTCTGCCTTTCAGCCTCCCCTCACGAGGAAGTTGTGACTGCAATGGTCTCCCTTCTTTCTGCTCCAGGCTGAACAGGCAAGTGACCTCAGCCACTCCTCATATGGTTTCCCCTCAAGGCCATACACCATCTTTGCCCTCCTTTGGACACTCTCTAATAAGCTAGTATCTTTTTTATACTGTAGTGCCCAAAACTGCACACAGTGCTCAAGGCAAGGCCACACCAGTGCAGAGCAGAGTGGGACAATCACCTTCCTCATCCACCAGCTTGTGATGCTGTGCTTTTGGTGCTGCTCCATTAAAATGAATGCATAAATTATTAGAAAAAATAAAAGACATTTCTTTTAATGTTTGGTCTGAAAAACTAATATAAGTATTCATTTAACATATATTGATATATTGATTGATAGGTCAAACAAAGTAATTTTATTTGCCCACCATCATTGAACTTGCTGTTATTCTAATTCTTTGATAAAATCAGAGATGGAGACTTACTTGTGTAGGGTTGCCACAATGATTTGCTTCAACTTCCTAAGCAGCAGATTGCCAAACTCTTAGCTTCAATCACTAAGCAATCACACTGTTGTGAAAATATATCCACAACCATATACCAGTGTAACCTAGTATTTAAGGACTGACTGGTACAGATCCTCTATCACATAATGTTACAAAGGCAGGAAAACAAAAACTGAGAATATCACACCCAATCAAAGCTGATATTCAGAGTTCTGTTGGTTAAGATACACAGGTATTTTCTGACAGGGCCCTCTGCCCCTCTTCATTCTATTAGCAGTCCAAAACACCTTGAATATTATACTTCATATGCCAGTTCTGTTTATTGAACAAGCTGCTGACATGAGTCCTCAGACCATAACATATATGATAAATACACACACATTTAAAATGTGTTAAGTTTAAAACTAACTTAAAAAAAAAGCAAGGCCAAATTTATCTAATAAGGATCTGCTGGCTCCCAAAAGCTGACAGTGAAGAGGTGGGCCTACAGCAGAGCACCACAGTACTGCTGAGGAGACAAAAGGCCTCCAGGAGCATGCTCTGTGTGAAGGATTCTGTCAGTGCCAACAAGGCAATCCAGGATGATTTCTTCACATTGCCTACTGGATAGAGACAAGCAGTGTGTCTGCCAGACTGGTAACTGGCTCAGACTTCACTGCTTGTAAATATGTCATGTGGATAACAGTCCAAGAATAAAAATTGATCAATACTTCCAACCTTATTTCTTTCCATCATGCCACTCCCTAATGAAGATATACTCCAGGGTGTATCACATATTACAGTTTTGTATTTTAGTATTTTACTACTAGCCAGTTTCTTTAGAAGAACTTCACTTTCAACAGTTAACAACAAAAGCAGTAAAAAAGAAGTAAGCAATAGAGAATAATCTAATACCTACTTTTCCTTTACTTACAGTCTTTATTTTTGGCAGTGGTGGTGGAGGCAGGAAAAAGCGAAGGTCAACATCTTTGGACCGAGCCAAACCTATAGCAGTCCTTTGATCACAGGTTTGAGCAGCTGTGACATACTGATAATCTGTTGTACAAGAATTTCAATGTTAGCGTTAAAACTACCCTTATATACTTCATTTTGTTTTAAATGTAGTTTGTGATCTACTTTGTAAATATACTCAAAAAGAAGAACCATCTCTCAGAGTCTACCTAGAAAAACCCTTTGATTTTCTAGCCACAAATTCTAAAAGTTAAAAACTGCAGATGTTAGACCAGCACTACACTGAGCTGAAATACACCTGGGCACTAACTGTTCATTATAGGCCAGTTTGATTATTCAGTGGCAAACTGAAGGAAAAGAAAAGAAAACCTTAAAGTGGATTAACACTTTTTTCTACAAAAATTTGCTTCTATTCCTGTTACTGTTATACAATTCCAGAACAAAACTGACAAGCCACTTAAAAGATACTTTTCACAGTCATATATTGGCAACACCTTTCCTTTGTTGCAGGTAATTTATACCTGAAACTGAAATGAACTCACTGGAGCTGAACACTTTGTCCTAGTTGTGAAAAATTAACACATACTTTCAGTCCTAAACTTTCTTGACTTGGTTTTGAAGCATCAGGTTTAAAAAAAGCCTGTTTCCCTCATGGGGCAGTTGGCAAGAATAATCAGTGTTTCTGAAATGTCCAAATACTACAATAATGAGCACTACAGAGAAAGGGAGATAACAAAAAGCAACTAAATTCCTGATACTGGACACGTTGTGCTCTGAAATCACCTGCTAACAGTATTTGTCTACAAAGGACAAAGCTCAGTATGCCCTAGCTTTGAAGCATTTTCAAACACACTTTGCTGGTGTAAATTGCCTGTGGAAATTATTTAGAATTTTTAAAAGGCAAATTGAAACAAGATAAATCCCATGGCATGGAATTGCACTGGAAAAGATCCACAACTGACTAAATTACCAAAATGAGAGTCCAGAATGGAATGTCACATAGTTTATGTAGCCTGGTGATGGAAGGGAGAGTAGGAAACACAAATACACATATACATACCTCCCCTTTACTTGGGGTTTCAAGGGTATTTGCTGCTAGAGCAAGGGGGAGAACTTATTCAATAATAACTAGGACAAAAAATGGCTTACAGATAATGCTTACACATACAAGCCCTCTACCTCTGGTTTGCCATTACTACTTATCAGCTCCTAACCAATTTTTATTAACTTAACCAAGGGCCTTAAACTCACTCCTACAGGGGCTTATATAAAAAACATCACTGCCAAAACTTGGGACTGCATTAGCAATCCCAGCAGAAAACCCAAGGAACTGAAGAGCATGAACTGCTCTCCATGCCACAGCAATGGTTACAATCCTCTGGTGGGGAAACAGAGAGATGCCTGCACTGCAGACACTCACACTGTGTCAGGGGATTATGAAAGAATAGCTACTTGAAATGTAAACAATTCCCCCACATTTTAGACCAAGTTTCAGAGCATATTTATGCTTCTTGCAGCTACTATCTTTTCTTCATGTTATCAGCAGACTTGGAACAGCTAACTGAGACTCTGTGGAATTTCTGGGACAAATGAGGCTACATCAGCATCCATTACCATGCCAGTGACTGTTGCTTGCCAGGTCTTGTACAGCCTGCAGTCGGATTGCTTTGTCTTCTGACTGACTTCTCTTTAAGAGAAGCCATAAGGCACACTCATGATCTTCTCCATCAAAGGTACCAAATTGTTCTTCAACCAGGAAACAAATGAAATCCAAGTTATTATTAATGAGCATTTTAACCAGCCATGTTTCTATTTGAGGTGTACGGAAATATGTTGCTTCTTAATATTTGAGTATTACTTGTTCACAATAATTTAGAGTGTAACACTTTAAACTTAAATTAGTCCAATGAACAAGGACAGAATGACATCAGTAAAATGCTGGTCCTAAAATGGTGAGTTTGTCTCATTTTAGTGGGACTAAGTATATATTTCATGTATCTACATGACATACACAACCTCTGGCTGGCACTTACCAACCAGAATTGCCAGCAGAAGCTGCAAGTTATTAGCAACGCTTGAGGCTCTGACCTTGAAGAATTAATCTCATAAGATGACAGTGGAGATGCAGATTGCTATAATCATTTAACAGAGAGTTAAATGAGAATAGACAGTATGCCTCAGGACCACAGTTTCTGATACAAATGGAAATTCTTGTTTAAAATTATTTTGAAAAAGCAGCAACACTGATCCAAAAAACCGTGCTGCTTTTGATTAATACTGTAATTTGATGAAAGCATAGATACTTTTCTAAAATGAGACTCTGAGAGTATTTCATCCCAGAAACACCTTTTTTACACAAAAATGATATCAAATATTAACTTAGTATCTTAACTTTTAAATATCTTCTAGAACAAGGAAAAAAACATCCCTCAAATCTCCTCTTAACCATCACTTTAATTTACTTTAAGAAAATTAATTGTTCTAATACACAGAAAATAGACAACTGACTGATAACCCATAGAAATATAGAAATTGTAAGCTATATTATCACTGTGTCAAGAACAAAAGATTGTGTTAATTTTGTAAGAAAAAAATGTTTTACTTCCTAACTGCCCTACTTCTTACTGCTAAAAAATAATAATCATAGATAAAGTCCTGCTTTCAATACCTACCATTAAAAGGTCTCCGGAAGATTTTAGCTTCTGTTTCTAGAATTCTCCTCACTGCTTTATGGATTTCTTTTCTGGCTTTGTACGTAAACCCTACAAGAGTATTTTTATATTACTGGAAGTCTGAAAGACAGTTCTCTAATCTCACTTTTCGTAGATATATGGAAAAAGAAATACACACATATATACATATAGACACTGTATAAAGAGAATTATCTGATATATAGAGAACCATGTATAGAAAGAACTATCTCAAAAAAAACCCTAAACCAGTCAGCAGCTTAAAATAAATTTGGTGACATTTCTTGGTAACAGACTTCAGGAAATATAACTTTACTTGTTATATAAGAATGATTTCCAGATACATGGTATTCTATTAGAATTCTGTTTTTAGAACTCAAACAATTATGCATCTTACCTTGATATTCACTTGGACGTAGAGAAGCTGTACGTACGTATACATAGGATTTAAGTTTTTCTTGATGTAGCGCTTGAGTATCAATTTGCAGTAACTTATTTAAGGACAGGACTTCATATGTAATGAATACAAAGCCTCTTTAAAGAAAAAAAAAAAGCTGCATATGAATATCAACTAAAACAACATAATAAAAAAATAGTAATCACATTGGCATAAGTCATAGAGATTTTACAAAATAAATAATAGTCAGAAGATTATTTTAACTTAGCAAAGTAGAGGAAAGGCTATAAAATACTTGAAATAACTTATAACTATCAGAAACTGTGCTTCAAGACTACATTCTACCATGTCTAATGTCCCCTAATATTATCACATTTTTTGAAAGATACACATATTAAAATTTTAACTGTATCCACAAGTTACATATATGCTCATTAGTTACAACTTACCCTATTATAAGTGATCCAGTTACCTTTGCAATTTTTCCTTGAAAAAAATCAAAACCAAATGTCAAACAAAGTTGTGTGCATCACCTCAATATAAACACAGTTACCATTTGATTATCAGACAGCAGGAATACCAACCATTAAGAACTTTAAAAAAAGCTTTAAGCTTTAAAAAAATTTCCATTGCTCTCTAGCTTTCAAGAAATTATTAACCAAAATTTACAACTGGAGAAAACATTACTTGATTCAGATTTCCTGCTCTCCTAAGCAAGATGATAAAATATGTATACTGCCAGTGCTATTTCCTTTGAATATTGCTACCTCTCAATTGCATGCACTGCTTAGCTACCAGAATCAACAGTAAACTTTCTCTGCCTGTAACACTAGCAGTGATTTGGAACTCTAAATAATTTTAAGGAGTTAACTTTTTCTTAAATCTTGCAGCTATTTCTTCAATGTATATTATTACATACAGGACTATGCATGTTTTTTTGAAAAGACCTGCAGAGTCTCCATAAGGAAATACTGATTCAATTGAATTATATTTAAAAAAATTCAATTGAATCTAATTTATAAAGCAAGCAGATAATAAATACATGCTACTTGCAACAATTTGCCTTTTAAACAAAATTATTCCTTCCAGATTTCAGCTACTTTGTATCTACAAAGTTGATTTGATTATCTGGATATGAGGATCTCTATACAGAGAAACTCTTATCATTACCAGCAGCAGCAAACCCAATGTAACACATCTCACCTATCCTGAATAATTTCTTTTCCTCAGCATGAATTGGGAGATTTGCCCCACAACCACTGCTACCAGCTTCCATCTTTGTGAGGCCATAAGAATTTTGCATGCAGACAAGAGGCAGCAGCTAGATGCTGAAGAAATAACTGGCAGAGAAGTTTGAAAAAGAAAAAAAAAAAGCAACTCCTGTACAGCAGAAATTGAAATATCCTATCTTTAATGCTCAGAAATAAATTTCAAAATTGTAAAAAATGTCATTATATGCTGAAGACACCAAAGAAAACAGAGACTAATGAGAGCTTGAAGTAAATAAGGAAAAGAAAGAATAGAAACAAGCTTTATTCACTGCTTATGAATGTAAACAGTGAACAAAGAATGGCTCTAGAGATTACGAAAAAAAATCAGATACAAGTGGAATTGAAGATAGTTTAAGGAGATCACATTTAGTTAGGGAAAGACCCTCATCCAGTGTTTGTATCTGTTCCCAGATAATCTGCTGGTGTCATGTTACATATCACTACGCAAAGCAAGGTCAGAAGCAGAGAGCAGGGACAAACAGAAGCTTTTAATCACTAAGCATTCAAGGGCTTAAAACTTCAGTATCGTTTTAATTATGCAGGGTGTCATGTCATTCCTTTTTATTAATGCTTCAGATCAATACATAATGAACTGTGCTTACTGATATCATTCCAGGGTAGGTGTTTTTTTGTGGCTGGACCAGAAGTTCCTATTTTTCTGTAGCAAAATACACAGTAAGCAGCCACTGACATCCTGCATATTGAGGGGGAAAGAAAAAAAAGTAATGATTGATTTGAGAATTACAGCAGAAATCCTGTAGCATTTTTTCCAGTCTTTTTACAGCAAAGGTCATGATGGCAAAGGTCACAATAAACCATGTTTGTGTCATTCCGCTCCATATAAAGCACTCCAATTAAAGAACTCTATAAATTTCTCAATTCATGGGCTAAATAATGGGCTGAATTTCAATTATAAGAAAAGTTTAAAGCAGTTTTTAATCAATTATGTTACTGTTGGTTTTAGTAACTACGTATTTCCAATTAACTTTTCCGTGTCTAGGTTTCCTTTCCTACTTATTAGTCACTCTTCCCTAAATACCAGATATGGTCCTATCTCCATCAAGACATTACTCAGTATGATACAGGCATTAATACAACCTTTTAAAAGTTCATCATTTTTTGTGTTGGCAAGTAAGTATTTAATTTTGACTAACAAGACTTAAAGAACTACTACATAAAAAAAAAAAACTAACACTTTTTGCATACAATGCAGAAGTAACATGGAACTCCTATCTTCTAAGTGGAATTTTAGTGTCTGCACTGGTGCAATTGTACTAACTGAAATATTGAGTTAATGTCAATTGTACTAACTGAAATATTGAGATAATGTGTTTATAGGGATGTAAAAACATCCACTATCTCTCACATGCTAATCAAATTCTTGTCAAATTAGGTCTCTGTTACCACAATCACAATTAACTCAAAATCACATGTGTAAACCTGATGTTGAAATATGGAAGCCTGATATTCTCCTTGAATTTAAGGTATTCTCTGCAGACCAAGAAAAGTGTGTTTATATCACTTTTATCATCAGTGTCCAACATCTCTGAACAAGGAGACTCTTTTTGGGTCCTTCCTTTCACATGTCTTCCCTCTTTTCTTATTTCCTCAAAAGTTTTGATTTTTCCCTTCTCTCTTGCTTGTGTTTGGGAGATTTTTGGAAAACATCAGCATTACCCCAGCACTGTCAAAATCACTGCAGCCTGCTTTTTGACTTCTGTCATTTCAACATTGTTTATCCATTCACTTCAACAGAGTACACCACACTGTGAAACACTTTTAAGCCTTTGATCACCAGTCCTCTAGAGACACCTCTCCTGCCTCCAAACTCCCCGTCTCATGACAGTTCCTTTACCACCTTTACTCACATTTACTCTTCTCTTGAACCACAGTCTGAAATAAACATGTGGTTCAGTGCCAGCAGGTGCCACAGTTACTAAAATTTAAAACATGCGCCTGCAAACACAGGAGGACAAAGTGAGCACCGCTCCTCTGTTGCCAGGAGCTCCTGTTCAGGTCCGAGGGCAAGCATCACATCATCAGTGTTAAGGGTCTGGAATGGACCTTAAAGACCACCTAATCCCAACACCCCTGCCATGGGCAGGGGAACTGCCACCAGACCAAGTTGATCTCGGCCTTTTCCAGCCTGGCCTTGAATGCTTCCAAGGTTGGGGCATCCACAGCCTTCCTGAGAAACCTGTTCCAGCGTCTCACCACCTGCACAGTCAAGAATTTCTTTCAAAATACCTAATCTAAATGTCTCCCTTTTTCGTTCGTACCCATTACTCCTTGTCCTACAAGTTCCTGATTAAGTGTCCCTCTCTGACTTCCCCGCAGGACCCTTCAGACACGGGTCCCTGGGGTCCCCGCAGGACCCTTTAGACACGGGAAGGTTTCCCTGGGGTCTCCGCAGGACCCTTCAGACACGGGAAGGTTTCCCTGGGGTCCCCACACAACCTCCTCATCTCTAGGCTGAGCTGCGCACACTTCCTCGCCCTGCTTTCACAGCGGAAGCGCTCCAGCCCCCTTAGCAACTTCGTGGCCCATCTCCAGCCTTGCTCTAGCGGCTCCGTGTCCTTCTGATGCCGGGCAGCCCGGGCGAGGCCTCACCGGAGCGGAGAGGGGGCACAGTCGCCCCAGCCGCCTGCTCTCGGGGCTGCGAGCGCGCACCGCCGCCTCACGCCAGCGCTCCGTGCCGAGGCACGCACAAACACAACGCAAAGGGACCCATTCCGCACCGTTTCACAGCCGGCCCAGGCAGCTCCGAGCCCCGTCCCGCAGCGGGGCGCGGTCCCCACGCACCCGCCCCGCGGCTGCGCAGCTGGGGCGCACTGGAAAAAAAGACAAAAACACCGCCGCAAACCCGACTTTAAGCGATGCAACACTTAAGCGGGCAAGGAGGCGGGCGGGGGTGGCTCTGCGCCTCTTCCCAAGGGGGAGGAGCAGCGCGCCCGTTACCCCGACCCAGCGCGCCATCCCCGCGCCCCCCGCCCGCGCCGCGCTCCCACCTTCCGCCTGCGCGCTCCCACCTTCCGCCTGCGCCCGGCTCCCGGCGCCGCCGGCAGCCCCGCCCAACCCGCGCGCATGCGCAGGTGAATCACTTCCGCCCGCAGGGACGTGGCGGCGTGGGGGACGGGGAGAGCCTCGGCGTGCGGCCGTGTGAGGGAGCAGGGTTGTAAAGAGTCTTTGAGCTTAACCGAGGCGTTGTTTGTTTGGGTTTGTGTGTTGGGGTGTGTGGGGCGAGTTGTGCTTTCGGATTTCCTGTGTTCGCCAGTGCTGTTATAGATGATAATATGACATCGGTTTTCACTTTTATAGATCAGCTTTTTGCATCACAAGTATTTTGATACAGTACAATTTATACTTGCTTTAACTGCTTTTGTATACTATAGCCTGTTTATGTGTACACTGTATAGCTCATATGAATAGAGTGATAGATATACTGTAAGCCTTAGCAAACTGCTAAAATAGAGACTAAAATGCTTCCATGTAGCTAACTCAGAGAATGGTGTAAAGCAATTATTTTGTTTCTTACATCTGCGGACTGCAAGTGATAACAGTGACAGAAAGCAGAGCATAAGCATCTAGGAAGGATTTATTGATTCTTTGCTGTCAGGAAGTGTCAAACAACAGGATAGTACTACAGGAAGAAATAAAATATATGGACCTAATCACTACAATGTCCTGCAGACAAGTCAGAGGTTAAAACCAAACAAGAGAAACATCAAAATCTTAAGGAATGTTTGAATAATGTATAAAGGAATGAATATGCATGTAACCCAGCAATGTAACTATATACTGAGAGCATAATTTTAGGCTACCTCTGTGCTCTTGGCCATTTGCCAAAAGCACCCCAGCGCTAGAAATTTGTCCTTCTTTTATCTTTTATTAAAGCTCCAAACATTCTAAAGAGTGAACTCTGTTTTTCACAGATCCAGAGCAGGGGTTGCTCTTGCTGACTCTTCAGCGTTCGTGAGGGAGCCGGGAAGATGGTGAATGTTCTGAAAGGTGTTCTGGTTGAGTGGTGAGTAACAGCATTTACTGCCTCTCCTCGTGTCAAAGGCTGTGTTTCTTTAGACCTGGAACTGGCTGAAGTAACTGAAGAGCCCAGAAAAAGGAATTATTGTGGAAAGGGTGGTGCTGAACAAGCAAAGTGCATCCTTTGGGGGAAGAAGGAGAAGGCAATTGTAGATATCCTAATGCCAAACTCCCATTTTTCTATTCAAGAGACTGTTTTCCACTTATGCCTAACCTCTTTAAGGAAGAGAAAGCTGCATATGAATATGGGGTTAAAAAATAGGATGGCAAAAAAGTTAGCAATCACATTGTTACAAAAATCCAGTTTAAAAATATATATATAAAAGTCTGCAGATTATTTTAATTTAATAGAGAACATTATGTAAAATACCTAAAATAAGCATTAACTATGAGAAATTATGCTTCAAAGCTATATTCTACCATGTCTGATGGTCCCCTAATATTGTGACGTATTTTGAAAGGGGCACAAGTTAAGATTTTAGGTGTATATGTAAGTTATCTGTGTGCTTGTCAGGCACGACTTACCCTAGTACAAGTGATCCATTTTTCCTTGAAAATATTGGATGCTCCCTCTTGTTCTTTGTATTGCTTGCAAACAGAGTTTCTTGCTGTTGTTGTTTGTGAACCAAGTGTTTCTCTACTGATATTTAAGGGAGATGAGGTAATCTTTCATTTCTCCTTTCCTGTTTTGTTTTTATTTAACCAGCTCTAGACTTACTTCAGTGCAAGGCTAACGTGTGGTGCTGTTTGTAGTTCATATTCAAAAGGAATGTGCTTGGAGTTGGTAAATGTCAGCTTTTGGTGTAGGTGCAATGTACCTGTTTTCATATAATCTCACCTCTGGACTGAGACTCAGGCCCCTGGCTACCTCCAAAATTAAAGGAAGCTTCACTCAAGATTTGTGGGGTCACTGTATAGCATTATGTGATGTGCAAGATTTCTGCTGTACATTTAATCTCTTAATATGTTTGCAACCTATAACTGCACAAAGCAGTTCCATGCTTCCAAAATGTTTTCTTTTAAACATTTAAATTTTGTTTAGAAGGTGACATTGTGACTGTTCAGTCAGAGTGTGAGAAATGTATAATTCTTATATGGGCACTCTTTGTCTGTGCTATATTACTTTGAGTGAGATTTGTGTTCTCCTCTTTTTTGGTTATCCTTATGCTTTAAGGAAACATTTTTATGAGGCTATTGCTGAAATCAGGAATGTAAGTTCAGTCTTGCCTTATTAAGGGCTGGACTTTTGAGTTTCAGTTTTGGTTTGAGTGTTTTTGAAGCTGCTTTAACAGCAGCAAACAGAAACTTATCTGCTAATCAAGCAGCTGGTTCTACTCATTAGACTTTATTACCTTTTTTTGTCTCTATAGAAACCAAAACTACTTGGAAAGAATTGACTTTTACTAAAGCTTCACAAACTGTATTTAAGTTGTGAAAATTCATTTTATTTTTCCTAAACCCTTTGGGAATGCCTTTGAATGGTGTTTCTTCTGTTTGCAGCTGTAACTGTGAGGTGGGGTCTGACGTGTGTTTGTCTCTACAGTGACCCTGCAATGAAGCAGTTTCTGCTCTACTTGGATGAGTCGAATGCTTTGGGAAAGAAGTTCATCATACAAGACCTGGATGAAACTCATGTCTTTGTATTAGCTGAGCTGGTCAGCTTCCTCCAGGAGAGAGTGGGCGAGTTAATGGACCAGAACTCATTTCCTATTACTCAGAAGTGAGAAAAACCAGAAAAATGAGATTACTGCAAGTTTTGGAACAGTGAATTTCAGTAGTTTGGGTTGTTACTGTTTTAATAGATAACACTGTGGCATGTAAGTTCTACATAGAAGTGGCTACTGTAGAAAATGCATCATTTTCATAGACAAAACAGTCTGGAATTGGATTTTGTTTCTCATTTTGAAAGAATGTGGTATCTTTATTAAAAGACTTAAAATTACACATTTGAGGAGCTCCCTTGAGAATTTTTGATGCATGCTCTCTCATTTTCCTTCAGGTTTTCATCTTGCAAGATGATATGACCCAAAAAATAGAGTAGTGTTTCTGTATTGGAATGCTGTATGAGGTCTTCTGACGTGTTGTGTTCCTGGGTGTGATTGAATCTGGTTATAGTGTGACTGATAGAAAGTAAAGAATGTCTGTTGAATCTGTGCTTGATGGAACTCCTCTAAGTTAGAGGCATGGTCAGGGGTTTCGATGAGTTTTATGCAGCAGGATGAGAGGTGGTCTGAGTGTTTTGTTGTGTTGGTTAGGGTTTTTTTGTTAAAGTATGTTTCAAGTGCCCCATACTCCTTGCTGACTTTTACCAAGGCTGTGCTTTCTGAGTTGTTCTGCATTTAGGGAGAGGTGGTGGGAGTTTGGAGGGGAAGGAGTGATATGGAGGGATTGGGACAACAAAATCTATTGCCCTAGATCATCATAAATTAAAGGGTGACAGAAATTAGAGACCAGTTCTACAGATATAATTGCTTGTATTTTTTCACTGAAGCTGACAGTCAAATAAGTTATGTGATCAGACTCCCATGCTCTACCTAACAAACAAGAAAGCTGGGTTTGGATTTTTGGTTATGGGTTGGGTTTTTTTTCTTCAGCTTAGTTCTTTTTCCCTCACTGCCTTTTGCTGCAAAGAAAAAAGCTTTGTAGCATTATGGTTTCATTGTTTGGGGCTTTTTTACACGGTATTTGTAACTTTAGCTCAGACACTGGCTTGGTTTTCAGACCTACTCGTGTATATCAGATATATACCACCATTTTGTCTTTGAGAAAAAGTGTAAAGAGAAAGGCTTTTATAAGGAACAGTTTTCCTTACTGACTCTCCCACTACTGCTTGTTTTCTCTTGTCCAGTAGATATCAGATTAATTGGTAGGTTTGTCCTTGGTTTTTGTTCAGTTTGGTTTTTTGGTTTGCTTTTTTTTTCTTCGGAAGAAGGAGTCTTCAGGAGAAAGTTTCACTAGATGTTTTTCATCCAAAAGCTATCCAAAGAAAGTTCTGTAGAATTGTGCATATTCAGGCTCATGTGGATAAGCAATTAGCCCTGTAAAATTTAACTTCATGACATTTCTGATACCTTCCCTTTTCTCTGACTGTATAGAACAATGAGTTTGGGTCCAAATTGTTTAATCTCTTTCTTTCACTAGTGAATGCTTCCCTGGTCATGTAGATTAGGAACCAGCTACATTTCTGAAAAGAAAGAACCGTCTACATGTCTGAAATAAGAAGTTTAAATCCTGTTTATAAATGGTTTATGGTTTATTGCCTTTTTCTTGAGATTGATCTCAAGAGATGGATCAAACATTGACCTCATAACTGTTATTTTTTGCAAGATTATTGGGTGCTCATTTAATGGAGAAATAATCAGTAGTTTTAACATGGCATTGTAGCTTAGTAAAATTTATTGAGAAGTGTCTGTTTCCTTTCTTTGGAATCCTGTTTTATTTTCCATCCAGATTCTGCTGAAAGGTAAATCATCCATCACTCTTCAAATTACAGCATTTGAAACGTCATGTTTGGAATTTCACATGTTGAGCTTCTCTGTATTTCACATGTCTAGTGCTCCATTTCTATTGTGACTTTCCTTTTCAGTCTGTAATAAACTTCTTGCAGTTCTTGTCTTTTTCTCCTGGTTAACTGTACAGCTTTGCTGTTGTATTCCCTGTATTTTAGTTTATATTTACAATTGATACATGGCTTATGCAGTACAGAGGGATAGAAATTCCAAACTGTATAAACTAAACAGTTGGGCATGCGTTCTTATAGTCTCTGCTCACAATTTGGTTTTTTTGAGCAAACAAGTTAATGGACTTTTAACTTCTAAACCTGTCAATACTTTTGATCCTTCCTGTACCCTAACAAGGCATAACCAATTCTGTGCTGGAAGAATAAACTGAAGATGTAAGTTGGTATCATCACATGTAGTCTAAAGAGCTGAGTTCACTGTAGCTCCTAGAGAAAAAAGGATCTTGAATCAGGTAGTATGGT